TCCATTTTATCTTGTAATTTGTATATTAAAAAATTATAGAAATTATATATTAATAATCTATATGTTAAGACAAATCAAACAAGATCACATATAGCTATATTTAAGCTTACACATTGAGAGAATTTGGTGAGTCAAAGTGCTTAGATGAACAGTTCCAAAAGTCAAAAGTGGACAAAGAGAGTGGGACGGAGGTATGTAGTATTTCACATTGTACCTCAAAAGATGCACCAATATTTTAACAGTTCGCAATGACACAAAATGTTAGTTCATTCAAAAAACTACACTGGCATATTGTAACATTGTAAATCATCACACTAATACAAAACGTTACTACATGCCTTTGGAGTAGAATGTGAGTATGTGACTATGTGTGGTACATTTTTTGAGGCCGCCGCCGTCCAGCGCAATATGAAATACGGAATATTTAATTCTGTATGCATGGAAATGATATCCCTAGACACTATTCATATTACTAATTTTTATTCATTTTGTTTATTTATTTTCAAAACTCATTTTTTATTATAAAATAATCATGTCATCTCTTTTTATGTAGTTTTTAATAATATAAATTTTATTTTTGAATTTACAGCTACAATCAAATAAATTATGCTAAGGGTGTGTTTGGTACACGAAATTGACGGAATTGAAATCGAATTGGGAGTTAAAATTCTATGGAATTGATTTGGGTGGAATCAAATTCTCCCATTCCAATTCATTTTTGGCACTACCAATTCCAAATTCACATATTTTTGTATTACCAAATAGTAAAATTGAAATTATTGTCTTCAATTCTAATTCCATAATTTGAATTCCGTGTACCAAATGGTGCATAAAGGTAAAGGAAGTCAAACATCACGAACCAGAACAAAAAAAAAATTCAATTTCAAACAGAAAAAATATTATTTTCATTGGTATTAAACTTAGGTACTCCCCCGATTAAATTTTCTTATTTGGTTACACTCATTTAAGAAATACAATTACATTCACATTTATTATGAACACATTCAGGACAACCGTCAGTGTCACCAGCGTTACACTCCTCTCTACAATCGTCAACGTCTTGGCAGTAATCTGGATAATCATCATTGATTTGATCCCTTGTCGTTGCCGCAACACCTCCTTTCATTGCTTCTCTTGCACGTCCCAAGCCATAACGCCCTAGTTGCCACCATTTTATTAGTTTTTACTAATACGTAGGGGTGAGCAATTTAACCGAACCGACCGTTCAACCGGTGCTAAAAAACCGAACCGACCGAAAGTTCGGTTTCGGTTTTAAAAATCAGAAAAATTCGGTTTAGTCGGGTTTTCAGTTTCGGTTTCGGTTTTGGGTGGTGGTGACCGAAACCGACCGAATAACCGAGCCCAAAATAATTTTATACCTAAAGTCTTTAATATGTAAGTATAAGCCCAATCCAATTTTATTATTTAATACACAGCCCATTCAATTTCAGTGTACTAATACAACCCAATCAATAGGGTTAGGCAGTTAGCATCTACGGAGTATTTTTTTTATTTGTTCGAGTGTTCACAGGAGAGCCGCCATTGCTAATGGTCGTCGCCCCTTCCTCTGCAGTTTTATCCGTCTCCAAAGTCGGCCAAATCTTAACTTCTTCTATGGTTTGCCATCGATTGCCATTCAACATAAAGGATAACCCTATTACTCTGCCATCACCAATTCGTCGTAAAGATTCACAGATCGCTTCTTCCATGTTCATCTTCCATTCTTCCATGTATCCTTCATTTTCTTCATCGTCCATTCTTTCAGTAGCTTGAAATTATATTCATTTATGTTAAATTTTGAAATTAATAGTGAGTTTCTAAGAATTTGATTTTTTTGGTAAATGTCAGTTTTTGGAAACAGACCGTAACAGATCGGTTATATCGGTTTTATTTGGTTGCTTCGGTTTCATCCCAACTCGGTCGGTTTTCGGTCGGTATTTTTTTTGCAAAAAAAAATTCGGTTAGTTCGGTTTTCAACCGAAACCGACCCGATGCTCTCCCCTACTAATACTACCTCCGTCCTAGAATATTTGTCCACTTTCATTTTTACACACCATCCAATACACTTCTTTAATCCATTTTATCTTGTAATTTGTATATTAAAAAATTATAGAAATTATATATTAATAATCTATATATTAAGACAAATCAAACAAGATCACACATGACTATATTTAGGCTTACACATTGAGAGAATTTGATGAGTCAAAGTGCTTAGATGAACAGTTCCAAAAGTCAAAAGTTGACGAATATAGCGGGACGGAGGGAGTAACAATTTTGTTACTGTAATGAGTATGTTGAGGGTCATTTCGAGGTCTAACAAGGTACCAACGATCATCATATGATTTGGTCATAATATGCTACAAGGTTGTAGTGTAAAAAGAAAGAGACACGAGTAAGGATTTTTTGCACGATTTTTTGGTGTCATAATATGACACCGAGTTACTTGGAGATCATATGGTATTTCATTATCCCATCTCACAATCAAACCTCATCATCTACAAAATTCCATAATGGTGTTGTAGCATTTTGACAAAAGAATAATGGAGAAGAGAAGATGAAAATAAAGCAGTGAAGAATACATTGAAAATCGTAATACATGCATGGATCTTTTTTTGCAAGGAAATCAAAAGAAAATCCTTATAATATACTCCCTCCGTTCGGAAATATTCTTCTCGTGTTGACTTGGCACGCTTATTAAGCAATATTTTAAAAAATGCAAAATTTTCAAAAATGCACATACTTTAATCTTTTAAATCTTCTTTTATTATTAAAAAAGTACTAAAAAAATAGATTTGTGATAAAATAGAAGGGTATAATTGATATTAATCCTTAAAAAGTATACTAAAAAAAGAAATAGGAAGAATATTTCCGGACGGAGGGAGTAATATTAGTGTTTAATTATTCACATAATAGAGCAAGGTTCTGTTGACACTACATTATGGTGTCGGCGGATGACACTGGCTTATTTGGAGCTTCTTTGATGCTCCGTTCACAAAATTGATGGTTCCATCCCCCATAACCCCCACCGCACCCTACTCGCAGCCCGATCCCTGTGCCCCCACCCAAGACCACTCTTTTACCCCCCTCCAAATGTTTGGCCGGTTAGCTATTATGCAATGTATAATAGCCAAACTTTTGGAGGGGGGCTTAGGGTGGGGCTGGGGTGGGATAGGAAGGGGAGGTTTAATGCATGGCTGAATTAAGAAGATAGAAACCATCAAATCGCTATTAGTTAGTGTCAATGGAACCATGCCTTAGTGTCAAGGAACCAACTCAACCAAAAGCTCAAGCTTGTGGTTGTGGCCTAGGAACATTTATTTATATTCTAACATGCCCTCTCACGTGCAGGCGTAGTCTTTTTCGAGCCTTGCACGTGAAAACTTAATTTTTTTAAACTGGGCAGCGCTGAGTTTCGAACCCGTGACCTCCTAGTCAACGAGGCTCTGATACCATGTCAAGGAACCAACTCAACCAAAAGCTCAAGCTTGTGGTTGTGGCCCAGGAACATTTATTTATATTCTAACACTTAGATTAAATTCTAACATGCACCGATACAGAAAGGAAAAAGTGTGATAGATATTGCATGTTTATTATACCTGATGCTACGAGTAGAAAAATAAGAAGGCAATCGAGTTTGAGGGTTGAATATTTGGCCATTGCTAATAAAACAGAACTACCAAAGGAGTGCTGTCAAAAAAGAACTACCAAAGGAGTGTAAATGTGAAAATATGGTAAAAATGATGAGAAAGTATCTTTTCTTTGTTGTGGGTGGGCTTAAAGCATCTCCTATGTATTTATATATCTAGCAAAAGTAGAGTCCATTTATCTATTTTGGTTAGTTAATCCATTTTTTAATTTTATTCTATTTTTAGAGAACAAAACGTACAATTAATTAAATAATAAATAAACAAATGATATAAAAATTTGATATATCAAAGCTATATCCCAAGATGAAACCAAACATATTGAATTCATATTACTCCCTCCGTCCCTAAATAGATTACAATCTTTTTTTCTCTCTCCTCTCGATAACTTTTGTTTGTTTACGTGATTTCATCAAGTATTTGATAAAATAAAATATTCTTGTCACCTCTTGTTTTGTAGAACTTTTGACGTAGTTTTTTAATATATAATTTTTATAACTTATTGATATACCAATTTGCAAATAAAATGATTTCAAAAAGTAAGAAATTTTACTCCGTAACCCGTAATTTGTAATCAAATTGGGGACGGAGGGAGTATAATTAAATATGCTTTTCTCAAAACTTATGATTAAAGAATTTCACGATTTGACTAAAAAAGAAAAAACCAAAAAGGTCTTTAGGACCAGAGGTAGTAAGATATTTTTAGTCACTGTTATTAAACTCAAACCAAAATTGGGCGGCTGAATCGGTTGAAGCACGACCAAGACACGTAACTGGTCTAATCCAAACCCCTAAACCCCCAAAAAAAACCCAAAAAACACCGGATTGACCCGAGGAAACTTGGAAAAAAACCGGGACCCGACCTCCTCACGAGTTTGACTTCCAGTCCGAATTTAAAATCATTGGTAGTAATAGTGTATTACTTGAATAAAGAAACCTATTTGAGGACAACCTATTGTAGGATCCATAAGCATATGCTCTATAAATTAGAAAGAAGAAATGTGTTTCAACAGGCTAGTGGCCAACATGTCACAACTTCTTTCAAGTCCATCCCACTATTTTTGAAACATGAGCAAGTGACAACATTTTGTTTTTTTAAAATAAGATTCTGTAGTTGTCTGTGGTATAATGGAAAATAAGATAATGCACATATAAGAATGAATTTGAAGCATGCAAATATGACCAAGCATGATATACAATTGTAAAAAGAGTATATTGTACACCAACTTTGCAAGATTTGTATCACTTTGCAAGACTTGCATCACATTGTATCTCATCTGCAAATAAGCATTCTTTAGAAGCAAAATGAGCTTCTAAAGAAAAGACAAAATGGACATAACAATAAAAGACAAAAAAGAAACGATTCCTTTTTTAGAGATACACTGAGGAATCAGCCAATCGTCGAAAACGGGATGTGCAATATTTTTTGCCCTAATTCATGACTTCTGCAAAACAATTACCCGAGTAGATAAAAGAAGCATTCAAAAGAAAAACATATATACTTCATTCATTTCGTTTTACTCGGCCTATTTTCATGTAAAATGTTTGAATACATGAAGTTATTCTCAATTCAATTTATTTGAAAAACATAGTAAAATTTGACTACTTCGTATGTTTTACTTTACTGGTTTTGCTAAAGAGATTGTGAGCAAAGCATGATAAAGGACATTGGAACCATTGAACCAAGTCCCATATCGACAGCATAGTTCACCTCAAAAGCCAACTCAAGAGCAAAGATTTAACCCCGACTACAAGTACTACTCTGTAAGTCCTTACGAGTCCAACATGGCACCATATCACACACAATGATCTAATAAAAGATAGATATTCAACGTGGAATGCACCTGGCATCCTCAAAGAGTTTGCTACACAAGGCCAAAGCCCAAACAGTTGAGACATTTTTGAACCCTACAAGCAAAACCGGGCAATTTTCAACGCCACAAGCCAAAGCAAAATTGATCTCAAATAAATTACAGAGGAAGTTTGAGGGTTGAAGAAAGTTGGCCTTACTTGTTTCCCTCACAAGTGGGACAAACACATGGGTTAATCACCACTGGATCATAAAGGGGCGACCATTGTATTGTACCCTTTGATTTGCATAACTTGCATGAGTAATAGCCACTTCCTTTGCATGCTCCACACAGCTTTCCATTTTTCTCCTGGATTGCCATTCATGATATTCAACAGCAACAACAACAAAGTAAAATCATAGAGGAGTAAGAAATATAATTATCCATTAGATCAAAGTTAAATACTAGTATTGTTTAAAGTATAGAGTAATTTGTACACCCTTGATTGTTCTCACTTTTCTTTTCACCTGTCTCAAAATGATTTTGTCACTTCTTCTTTCTTTTTTAGAAAAAAAAGGTCAAGCAGATTCTCCTTTAAACCAATTCTATCTGCTCAGTTTTCACTACTCAACCTGTGGTCAATATCTATTCAGCATCTTTTTTAGTCTTCATGACGTTAGAGTGATCAAATTAATTTGGGACGAGGGGAGTAAATAACTTGAGATTAGAACTCCCAATTCGAAAAATTTGCCTCACAAGTTTCACTAACTTCATATAATAATGCAGTTTTAAAAGAAAAAAAAAATGAAGAAACTCTGAAGGCTTTTCTGGAACAACAAAAATCATTCACAATCCAGATGTCTGAGCGGAACAAAAGGATCGAAGAACAACAACAACTGTGCTTCCAGGGGGGTGTGCTTCCATAATCCAAAGCCTTACTTGTCTCGAGAAACTAATGTGAAGATAGTGGACAGCTTTGAGGACAAGAAACTATGAGAGATTTATGCTTACTCTTTTGAGTGCGGAGTTGCGGCGATGAATGGATCCGGCGACTGCACCGACGGTACAGAGAGCGCCGACGAGCGCTGAGGCGCCGGCAAGTAACGTCAGGAGTAGTTGGTGAGCTCCGGCTCCGGCCATCTCACCCATCGCCAACCCAAGTGGTCAGATCCTCGGTGACTGAAGATGGATGCCAGTAACTGTGGGCTGTTGCCATTCGCGATCCAAAAAAAAATTGTTCGGGTGGATCTATTTCCCTGGAAACTGGAAGGGTTGGGTTGCTAGTTGGGCCTAAGCGTCTTAGAAGTAGTAAGCTCGAGTTTAATTTCTAGTACTCTTTTCGTCTCCTTTTAGATCACAATATTTCATTTTTGAGAAAAGTAAAGAAAAATCAAATTATTAAATTTTTCTCCAAATTACCCCAATTAAGGAGGAGTCAAATTATTGCATAGGGTGATGGAAGGGAGGGTAAAATGGCCCAAATAATGTTAAAATTGGAACTTTGTAATTCTTTTTTAGTGTTAAAATTTTAAAATAAATAATATCTAAAAATATATTGTTTTGTACAACCGATATATGATATTCTTCCATGGAAAGAATATATGTCTATGCATGTAAATAGATTCTTTATTAAGTTCTAAATTTAATCAACAATGCACATAATAAAAAAAATTCAATTTTATTAATAAAATTCAAGATACAAATGGATATATATTGATTTTGTGATTCATTGCAATCTCCATCCTATATAAACTAAATCAATCACAATCTCTATTGAAAGTTAACCTTATACTACGTAATAATTAGGAAAAGACTTTGTACATTTTTAACACGTATACAAAAATGGTAATAAAAAATTATAAATAGTAGAGATGATGAACATTAATGCAGCGAAACAAATTTGGGCAGATTCTTCATACCATAGCTTGTATAAACGAAATTAAAAATTAAAATACGTATAGAGTAATTAGAAATTAAAATCTATATACTTTATTTAAAAAGAGGTGAATGTTTTCCCGCTTATACATGAGACTCATATATGGAAAGTGTTGACAACATAAATGATAGTTTAATTATTTGGCCTTATTGTTTTCCTTCTATTTTAAGTATGTTTTCATTTTTATTTAAATGTTACACCGTTTAAATATTTAAATTAAATTAATTTAAATAGTAGTAAAAATGGTAAGTTTTCTAAAATAGATTAGAAAATATATATGGTACGGTAAGTAAATGATAACATTTAAATACAAGAATAAAATAAAAAACTACAAATTAATATTAATACTATAATTTACAAGCATGGAAACATTTTAAAATGACAAGTGTTCTAATTAGAAAATTATAAAATAAATAGGTATGGTACGGTAAGCAATTGGCACCATTTAAAAACGAAAATAAAATAAATGGTAAGTGTTATAAAATAAATTAGGTACGTGTTCTAAAATAAAAGAGAAAATAAAATGCATCTAAAAATGATAAGTTTTCTAAAATAAATTAGAAAATAATGTGGTTTGGTAAGTAATTAGTACAATTTTAATACGAAAATAAATAAAAAAACTGCAAAATTAATATTAATACTACAATTTATAAACATGAAAATGTTTTGAAAAAGGTAAGTGGTCTAATTAGAAATTTAGAAAATAAATACAGTACAGTATGTCACCACGATAAGCAAATGGTACCATTTAAACACAAAAATAAAATAAATAGTAAGTGTTCTAAAATAAATTAGGTAAGTGTTCTAAATAAATTAGAAAATAAAATAAATATCAAAATGGTAAGTGTTCTAAAATATAATAGAGAATAAATACGGTACGGTAAGTAAATGATACCATTTAAATACAAAAATAAAATAGAAAACTGCAAATTTTTACTATCAATTAATACTACAATTTACAAGCATGGAAACATGTTAAAATGGTAAGTGTTATAAAATAAATTTAAAGATAAATATGGTACATTAAGTAAATGGTACCATTCACATGCAAAATTAAAACAATTATAAATTGTAAATTAATAGTATTAATACTATAAGAATGGAAACATGTAACAATGGTAAGTATTCTAAAATTAATACTTAATTCTATAATTTACAAGCATGGATAAGTGTAAAAATGGTAAGTGATCTAAAATAAAATAGAAAATAAATACCATAGGGTAAGTAAATGGTATCATTTAAATACGAAAATAAAACTAAAAAATACAAATTCCAAAATAGATACTCACTCCGTCCCATTTTAAATTGCATGTTTGCCTTTTTTCTTCGTCCCAAAATAAGTTGCATGTTAGTTGTTTTCGTAAATATTTAAAAATAAAATACCTAAACTACCCCTAAAATACGTCACTCTTTTTCACCTTATCTTCTCATTCATCATCACCCCTTCTAAAAAGTAATGACAATTTCGGAAAATCAACTCTATTTTTTATTTTCCTTAAATATGTCCAAAAATCAAAACAGACGATTTAAATTAGGACGGAGAGAGTACATTAATATGTTGAATTATTATTTAAATAAGTCAAATTATTGAATTATTGTCAGGGACAATATCTGAAACATGTTGAATTATTGTTATTACGGAAATCGGTATTTAGTCATGGGCAAGTGTTTGTTGCAGTTTCAAGAGCAATAAATCACAATGAAGTGAATGCTCACACGAATTATACGAGTGATGCATGTAGTTTATAAATAAGTCTTTCGAAATTTGTAAATCATTTTACTTTTGTACTTTAAAATAATGAAATTTCTATATTCAATTACATACCAATTTATATTCCTAAAAATGATCTTAATTTAGTACCGTAACTATGACCCGTGCAACGCACGGGCGTGATACTAGTTTAATCAACAATGCACATAATAAAAGAAATTCAATTTTATTAATAAAATTCAAGATACAAATGGATATATATTGATTTTGTGATTCATTGCAATCTCCATCCTATATAAACTAAATCAATCACAATCTCTATTGAAAGTTAACCTTATACTACGTAATAATTAGGGAAAGGCTTTGTTCACAAACAAAATAATCATAAAATTACTATTTATGAATTTCAATAAAAAAATTAATATGTCTAAAATAATTTTAAAATAAAAATTTAAACCATATATAGTAAATTTGTAAAGTTTGTAACCATTCTATATGTGAACCTAGCATTGCTCTAATAATTACTCCGTATTATGTAGTACTCCGTATTTATTAGACGCTTCATTTTTGTTTAATTTCTTCATTTCATTCATAAAATCTTAGTTAATGCACTATATGTAAGCGAATGTAATTTTTCCATTTCTCCATTATTCAAGATATCACTTAAAATTAATGATTTTTAAACTTTTTACTCCATACTACTTTAAAGTGAAATATATTGAATTTGAATTACTTTCCTTAAATTTTAATCACTTTAATTTTTTCAAATTTTAAATTGAATACTATCAAAAATTATGAATTCAGGTAGAAACAATGTATGTCATCGTTCAATAGAAAACTGTCTAAATATGTATAATACATCTTTTATTATAAATTTAAAGAACAATGCTCACAATAAAGAATATATTTTTTTTAGAATTCTTCTATTTCCTAATAATCAATTTTGGAGAATTTCATAATAATTTTGTATCCAAATTTTTTTAAATAAGAATCTTTGAGTAGTATTCTTTAATATTTCTTTATCGTCATTATATTTTCTTGTGTATGACAAATTTACCATTTAAAAATGAAACTAATTTTAATGAACATTTTGGAGTAAAAATAAAACATGAATATTTGTTTCCAATACCTAAATATATCATTTTAGGTAAGCTAAGGTTTAAGTGTTTGTCACCAAAACAAATATTATTACTGAGGCTGAAGGTTACAAATTATGTGATGTATATTCAATAATGACGAAGCAATAAGGTCACGATTACAACTATTATGTTCATAGCTATAGTCTATAAATTATTATTTTTCATCTCACTGTTTTTTTGATTCACATTGATTATTATTTTTCATCAACTTTTTAATATCAATAAGACAAGTTTTTATATATTAATCTACAGGATAAAATAAGAAAACATCAATATTTTAAATAATATTAAAAAAATATGGACAAAATAGTTACATAGAATGTTTTATTAATCTAAATTTATATATGACCACTTACCTTTCCCTTTATTACTCAATTTTTTCTCATTTTCATTTATTTCAAAATTTAATTTTATTTTTCATTTTTCTAATTTTTAAAAAACATTTTGAAAGTCAAAATAGTTTAGAGAAAAAGATTAAAATAGGAGTAAAACATAATAAAATGTACAAAAATAATAGTTCGATGTCTTTATTCCAAAAATAGGAGTTACAATGAAAATAAAATGTCAATCAGAAAGAAGAAAAGGTTTGATTACATTATGTGACATGTCTGATATTTAAAAACAAAATCTTGTAATATACAAAGTATAATTACGAATATATTATTTTATAATAAATACTGCATAAATAAATTGAGGTGCAACTTCATGCTAACATTATATTATAACTTTTGTCCTGAAAAAGTAATTTTTTGTATGAAAAAATAACAATCCTTTTTTTATCTTAAAGTCATTCATTAAGATAATGTGACAATGATGATGACAACGACGATGATGATGATAATAATGATAATAATAATAATCATAATTTATAATAACAAGAATAATTAGAATAAGAATAATATAAAACACACTAGAAATTAGGTCTATGTTTAGTATAGTTGTCTTCCAGCACTGTTGCCAGAAATCAAACTTAGCTTGACACTTTCTACCTTTACCAACTACCCAACATCAAGAGTGTATATGGTACATCCAGATGTACCTAGAGATAGGTACATCCGGGTAGTACTCTTTCTGAAGTAAAGTAGTGCTGATTCTCGCATCAATATAAGCATCCATTTAGAAAAACCATATTATTCATTCTGAAAAAACGTAGTACTCATTTTCAGACATTCGTAGAATATTCATTTACGAATAACATAATACACATTCTAAAACTTAATAGTACTCATTCCCACTTAGACTAGTGCTCATTCTTCAACTAAGTCCTAACCGCAAATCCGTACAGAATCATCACCTGCCCATCATCATCACCTGCAAAACCCCATCATCATCACAAGTCTTCCTTCTTCTTCTTCATCATCACCGCATCATTGCAGCTTCAATTCTGCAGAATCATCGACAAAACCCCATCATCATCACCGGTCTTCGATCATCATCATCGATCATCATCCCAGATCCGCACAAACTTCCGATTGGCAACCTCCTTCATTGCGGATTTCTTGCGCTTCTTTTCGCCATATTAAACGCCTTGCGCCCAACGTCTACCAACACAACTTTTTAAGTTGTCATTGAGGAGTGAGAGGGCACGATAAAAACATGACTGCTCTTCTTTAAATTTTTTTAATATTGTGAGATGAATTATTTAAAAATGAAAAATGCTAAAGAAAGACATGAAAAGAACGGTCACAATAAGTCACAAACTATTTGTGAACCAACGAAAAAAAATAAATCATCTCAAATACAGAGCAATTGAAAAATGGAAAATTATGTTATTTATCGGTAATGATTTGGCCCCTAAACTCTTCAATTTCTAGATTAATCGCTGAATCTATTATGTTTGGAAAATCAAAGATAATACAGATTTATTTGAGAGTCGTGCAAACACTCTTAAAGAGTACGGAGTATTTGAGAGTGATTAATTTGTGGATAAAGTGATTTCCACAAAAGATTAAAGCAAAAGCACCTAATACCTGCTTCTCTGAAATGATGTTCTATGTACAAAATAGTGGTGGTGAAAAAAAAGTTAACATGTCAAACAAAATAAAACCACTTTCACTCAAAGCAGAAGCTAAATTATTAAAAGCAGCGCACTGCCAAACACCCTCTTAGATTGATTATTTTGAGTGTTCAATCCAAAAAGAACAACAACTACGTACTACTAGTACTATAACAATGATAATAAGAATACTATGTAAATATACTCAAATACAACAACAACAACAACAACAACCCAGTTGGATCCCACTACAGTAGGGTCTGGGGAGGGTGTGTGTACGCAGACCTTGCCCCTACTCGAAAGCAGGGAGGCTGTTTCCAAGAAACCCCCGGCAATGTAAATATACTCAAATAAATTTTTGAAATTTTTTGTAGTTTTTTCTAGTTTTTTCTAATTTCTTCCATGTTTTTTTAGTTTTTCTAAATTTTTAAGTTTCTTCTAGTTTTTTTAAGCTTCTTCGAGTTTCTTCCATTTTTTAAAGTTTCTTCCAATATCTAATTCTTTTTTTCAATCCTAAAGAATAGACTCTAAACATGGAAAAAAAATTACGACTGATTAATTGAATTGAACTATTTTTGCTGTTTAATTTATTCATTAATCATTGTATTCCCTAAATATAGAATAAAAATAAAGTAAATAAAAGAATGCCTAAAAATGGATTTGTCATGTATGGATGCCCCTTGTTCAGATTATAAATACACACTCCGTATGAGATGCTTGAGACCCATAAGTAAAAAAATACTTATAACACTTTCTCATTGTTTTCACATATATAATTTGATAATATTGTAGTACTATTTTATTCATTCACAATAATGGCCAAATATTCAACCATCAACCTCGCATGTTTTCTTGTCTTTGTCCTTGTAGCTTCAGGTAAAACAGTAAATTTTATCATACTCGATATTTTTTTTACTCTTTTCATCTATGAATAAAGTGTACTTCATCCGTTCCAATCCACAAAATCTTTCCGGTTTTGACTTTGAGGAAAAATAAGGAAAGTGTAATTTTGGTTGACTTTCCAATTTTGCCTATAATGTGATGGAAAAAAGTAAGATGTGATAATTTAATTTGGTTATCAGTGAAAAAGTATGATGTGATAGGTAGTGTATGAAAAAGTAGGGGTAAAAGTGGTTTTTAAATAAAAAGTGGAAATGTTTTGTGGAAAGCAAAAAAAAACAAAAGAGAAAGAGTTTTGTGGAACAGATGAAGTAATTAAATAAACATCAATCTTAAATAAACATCAATAATCTCCAATTATTCTTAATTTGTCTTACATATTAATACAACGAAATACTACTCATCTCCGAGAGTATTCATCCAGTTTGACTTTTTCGAGTCAAACTGGATGGACGAACTCTGACCATTAATTAAGTAAAGCATATTCTATTAATATGTAATACAAATTGAGAGTAATTGATAATTAAAGTTTGTTCAAATTGACTTGAAAAAGTCAAACTAGACGAATACGTATCTAGGGGAGTAAAATTCTGGCAATTTTCAACTAAATAAATCTAATTAAATCATTTTTTTACTAATATACATTACGATTTTTATTTAATTGAAGCTTAAAGTTTATATTATTCGATTCGAAAGAGTCAAACCAGACGGATAATGTAAATTCTAAATATAATTACGTGTGTGTATATATGTATTTATACATTCATTATAAATTGATGGAGAGATATTCATAAACTAATTTAAAGGTGACAATTATCAGGGTGCTGTGGTTGGGGGCATGCAAGTCAGGAGAAATTAGGAGGCCATGCAACGCCACCAGCGGATCAAATAAATTATACGGGAGATATTCCATCTTGTTCAACTAATTCCGATTGTGATTCCTATTGTGCCCCTGGTCTTTGCGTCAATAACCAATGCGTTTGTTTCGGGCATTGATCCATGTTTTTGTGGTTATACTAGATTCGACCCCGTGCGTTGCACGACAAGAAATTTAATATTTAAAAATAGTGATTAATTGTCAAGGAATAATTTTAAAGTTCAAGATAATATTTTCTAGGTTATTTTTTAGGGGTAAGTGAACATAATTAGCAGTATGATTTGAAGTATTTCTTCATTACAAATCAATATCTTTGATATTCCTCCATTTGTCATACATAAAACTAAAAAAAATACTCTCTCCATTCGGAAATGTTCTTCCCATTTGATTTTTCACAGTCTCCAATATTGCACTTTGACTTTTAATATCTATATTTATACATAGATATACTTTATAAAAATTTGATATTTGAAAACTACGTTTCATTATGAATATATTGATTTTAAATTTACATTATAATACAATATGTTTTTTCCACAAATCATAGTCAAAGTTTACAAATTTTGACCAAGAAAAATCAAATGTGAAGAACATTTCCGGACAAAGAGTATATTTTACCATGACTGGATATCATTTTTTAAAAGTTGGCCAACGTGAGACAATTATTGATTGTAATAATTGATATTGTCTTCTCAAAAATTTAAATGAATTTCTTGTACTCCCTCCCTTCGTCCAGAAATATTCTTCTCATTTGACTTTTCTTGGTCAAAGTTTATAAACTTTGACTACGATATATGGAAAAACTACATTGTATCACGATATAACTTTAATATGAATATATTCCTTTTGATATATTGTTTTCAAATATCAAATTTTTATAAATTATATCTATGTATAAATAAAGATATTAGTGATCAAAATGCAATCTTAGAGATCGTAAAAAGTCAAATGGGAAGAAAATTTCCGGATGGAAGGAGTATCTAGATGAGTTAACATAAAGAAAGTCTTGAAATAACAACTTTGTCCCCTATAATAATTTAGTCAAATTAATTTTTTATAATAAAGCAAGATACTATATTAAACCTTACAACTCTACCTAGTATGGAGTACTCCGATCCCCGTATATCTCTCCCAATTTAAACCTACCAATTAATCATGCCACCCATCCTTTAAACAATACGGAGTATTCAATACGCAGCACCTACTCACCGACTTACCACCTCTCAAACTTTATCTTATTGTGATAGATAAATCGTCGGTTGGTATATTGCTAAATGGCACCGGTAGACCGCCGATTGTGTCCGTCTGTCACCTTATCCAACAGAAAAGTCGTGGTTGGTGGCTAGAGACTATCTTTTTTGCATTCTTCCACTCGATAATACTAAATTTCTTCTTAGATCTGGGATTTTCAGGTTTATATACCGTTTTTTCTTTATTTTTCTGGGTTTGTTCTTAGATTTGGGTTTTATCGTTTATATACTCCTTTTTTCTTGAACCAACTTATTATCTGGTGTTTCTTCGTGGGTCTGAAGTGTATACGCTCTTACATATGTTCTGAAATCTGTATTTGGGAGTTTTTGATAATTTTGCTTAAAAATCCTCTAAAAGTTCATCCATCTATTTTTATTTGACTTCACCTTATTTTAATCTGTAGATTAACATGCATTTTCAATTTTTAGCTTCTGAAATATGTTATTTTTTCAAAACTAAGTTTGCAAATCAAGATTAGATCTCCAATGTGAATATGTCGAAAATGGTTGTTTGTAGTGCTAATAAAAATTTTCATGTTTATTATATATTACTTTCAAAAATTATTAAATATTGAAAACAATCTTCCCATGTACTGTTACATTAGCCAACCAAATTGAATATGTTAGTATGTCTTGCATTCGGTGTTAATTTGCAGTTCTTCATCATGAGATTAGGCATTTTAATGTTACGCAGTACAAACTCAATTTCTTAAAGAAAATGGTTTGCCAGCCTGCTAGATCATGTGTGTGTATCACCATTGTTTTCACTGTTTTTATCATGTCATCATGCTCATTTTCATTTTTATCATTTTCAATCTTTGAGTCTGTTGTGTTCAATCCTTGTGTAGTTTGCAATATTGAAAACAATATTGTAGAAAAATGTATAAAAATTTATTACAAAGAGAAAGAACAAAAAATAGTGTATAAAAGAGGAAGAATTTTCTAACCTTGGAGGCCGCTTATTAAGTTTCAATTGTTCTCCAATTGAGTTTGAAAATCTAATATGGAGTATTTCAGTGTATTTATAGTGTGAATTTTGTAATAGCTACAGTGCATATATTGCTGCCCATTGCACTGTTTATATAGCTGGACATGTAGGGACGGCTCTAGATATAATAAATGCTGAGTGGACTTCTATTACTCCAGCGCGTGGCTCCATAAGAGATTTTGTTTCTGACCCAGCCTGCAATTCAAGCTACCCTAGATATGCCTAATTAAACAGCCAGCCCAATACAGTCAGCCCAAATTTCAGTGACCCGGCCCAATAAATTTAGGCGGGAATACTGTAGAAAACCACATCTTACCATTGTATATGGTAAGATTATTGCAATGTAATGTCCTCAACTTATTTATTGAGTGACTTTCTTATAGTAATAATAAAAATGACAAAATAATATTACCCCGGCCTTTTGTTCTCTAATTTTGTTCCTCTTTTCATGTTTTTAATTTGTTGGCATAAAATTGCGTTCAATCTCATTTTTTCCAAATTTTGAATGTAAAGTCAAATAAATTCGGGTCACCGTACGACCTTCGGATCATTCCGTATTTCATGACATTGCTTAGATAATTTAAATATAACGAAAAACTAGCTCACTCATATGTACTAAAGGGATCTTGATCTCAAGCTCTTACTGGTAGCATCATTTATTTTATTTTGCGAAATTTTCAATAGGCCAAAATAAGACATACTTTGGCATGAATGTTGCATATTCATTCTAAAAAGGATTGAAAACTTTTAGGGCTAAATGACTTCTCCATATAACCCAAAACATAATCAGGAGCTCCTGCTAGGGGGGGACCCATCATGGGTTTCGACCAATTCCTCAAATATAACAATAAAAACTTGATTAAATTTGGCTACAATATTATTCCATATTGAATTTAAAAACATATGGACAAAGTTGAGAGCACCAAATGACACTACTATGGAACCGCTAGACTTAATTCTACTTTTTGGACTCAAATGGAGCAAAAATCGACTACATTGGGCTTTTCAATATATTTTAAGTGATCATAAATAATTTGAGATGGATAAAGTAAATTATTACGAGCCAATATACGTGTAAAACATACTCCCTCCGTTTGGAAAAAGTGTTTCTATTTTGACTTTGTGTAAAAATAAAGAAGTATTAAATTGTAATTGACTTCCAATTTTGCCCTTGATGTGATAGGTAAAAGTAAGATGTGATGGATAGATTATTAGAGATAAAGTATGATGTGATAGGTAGGGTATGAAAAAGTAAGGGTAAAAGTGGTTTTTTAATAGAAAGTGGAAGTGTTTTGTTGGAAGTGAAAAAAAAAAAGAGGAAGTGTTTTAAAAAACGGAGGGAGCAACATTTATTCTTTAAAAAAAAGTTTTATGTTTTTATTTTTAAAATAAGAGTTTGTATTGTGATATTATGATATTATTGAAAATGTTATAGTGATTCTAGTCACAGGAGGAAGTGCTCTCTCTGAACAATTCTCGTCAACCACACACACTCCGATTGTTGTGATAAGCAAAGTGCTAAAACACTCCCTCTGTCACAACCAGTCACACGCAGCAAGAGAAATAAAAAATAGTAAAACAGACACAAGAATTGTTTACGCTGTTCGGAGCAATTCTCCTACTCTGCGGGGCCCACGTCCGTGTAATAGCCCATCCACTAAATCACTGCAAAGATTACAACTTCAACCACCGTAGGTACCAATCAGTGGATTGAACTAATCTACTACAGATGACTTAAACACATAACTCTGTTAGTGTTTCTCCCAATGGCATATTACACCAACCTTGATAACTTCTTGTTATTGGACGTGCTGACAGCCCTTTCTCCAGCCCTTCTTAGTTCATTAGCTGGATGTGGTTTTCATCAAAACCAATCATGGATCTGCAATATGATCTGCGAACAGGCCACAAACTTCTTGTGCTCACAACAACACCGTATATCAGAAAGAACCAAACATGGTTCTCTTCTGATCTCCTTTTGCAACTAGGGTTTATGGCTCTCTCAATCTCTCGCTGGAAGTATGTTTATTCTCCCTACCTTCTATATGAGATCATGTGTGTATATATATGTGTGAGCACGGGAAAACCCTAGTCATGATCATACTTGAACTCTCCAGCAAATCTTATTCCCGGTCTGCATGGGACTCTGGACAGCTTCGCAGGAATCCCTTCTCAGGAGGAAGTCTTCTCCAGCTCGTAGGAATAGACTCTAAACCCAAACATGACACAGCAGGACTCTACATCCAATCAGCTAAAAAGAACAAATAAACATTCCTACTTATTTGTTTTTGTCACAAGGATAAGGCCAACAAAGAATAAACAAAATAATCACTATGTCTCCCCCTTTGGCCATCCTTTTGGACAAAAACAAATACACTAGACCCTCTGGCCTGTTGAACCTCTTCTCCCCCTTTTTTGTTCAAAAATGAGCCAAAGTTTATTAAAAGGTAATTGGGAATAGAGAAGAGTAATATTCAACACTTGAGCAAGAGGAGTACAAAAACTCACTAGAACACCTATCTCTTAAGCTGAAGGATGTACCTACACCATGTCATAGAGATGCACAAGAATATTGAAAGGAAACTTGTAGATGACCAAAAGCGAGCACAGATGTAGATAAATAAGACCAAGTTTGAACCATTCAAAAAATAGCAGTCATAGTAAAAGAACCAGCAGTGCGATATGTCTTCAAACCAGTAACATGGAATAACAACCCAACCAAAATTAATGTCAAATTGAAGCTTGTAAAGAGTTTATCGAAAAGATTTTCCCTCAGGCTGAGGAATCTGTAGCAGTGTCTTCCTCCTCCTCTGAACTCTCCCCCTGAAATGATGTACCTTCTGCTTGAACACTCTGTGCAGCATTCTCTTGCAACCATATGAGACTTCGCCGCTCTTCTTCAAGAACTTTCTTCTGTTGTTTTGCTGTAGTTTATGTTCCAGATACTTGAGTACACCAAGCACTCCATGTGTTGCATGATCAGCTACCTTCATGTCATTGAAATGCTTTCAATCAAAATGTCGGTTATCAATCTGCAGTAGTGGCTCCAAGGGCTCCTCTTGTTCACCATCCTTCTTGTTAAAACCCTGTGAGACAAGCATCTAGAAGATTAGGACAGGAAAGGGCAGACCATTATCATTGTGCTTATAGTTGTGTTTCCCAAACTCAGCTATTTGAGCAACTATCAGCTTTCCTAGGTTAATAGGAACATTGTTTTTGATCTTGCACAAAAGCATGCCCATGGTTTTTGTCACCGTGTTGGTATGAGAGGTGGCTAGCCAGTGACACGCAGCAACTCTGAGCAAGATAGAGTAGGAGCTATTCAGGATTGATGAGGGAACTTTGTTGGAGGGGTGTTGGCTTTTCCTGGTTCCGTGAGTGAGTTCCTTCCACATTGTGACCTCACTTACCAGTGCATCCTGATCATCATCTAATCCCAAAAACTTGTTGACAGCAGTAGACGAAAAGGTGTATAGTTTTCCTCTGACAAACACTTTTTCAAAAGACACAGCAGCAGGGTTCACAAAATCTTCACTCAAATTGCAATAGAACTCATAGATGACTTGTTTGACATATGAACCAGGGAGGGTAACTGATTTCAACAAGTTCCTGGCATCTAACAGAGGAATGAGAGTGGTTTTCAAAGCAAAATCTTCCAAATCAATATTACGCTGGGGCAGAATGTTCTTCTTCATAATTGCAGGCAAATAAGATTTAGCAGCAGTAGTGACAAAAATATGAGTTGAGGACTTCCCTGAGTGATGATTCAGATCTTTACCCCTTTTTGACTTTGACATTTTGGATGGACTTGGAGAGCTTGTTCTGGTCTTCTTGGTTGATGGAGGAGACTCTTCTTTCATGACTGCCTCAGATCTGGTTTTCCGTTTTGACCAACGAACGTGATTTTGCCCTTTTGCCTTCTTTTTGGAGCTGCGAGGGGTGCGGTCTTGAGTTTCAGTCTTCTTGAATGGTACTTCAGACACTGCTAGAAGTGGTTCTTCATCCAGTAAGGTTTGGAATTCTTCATCTACCTCTGCATGTTGGTGTTGTTCCTCGAGGGGTGTTGTTGTTTTGTATTCTAGCAACATGATGGTAGGAGGATCTGGATGGAGTGGTGCTTCATCTTGCTCTTTGTTTAACAGGTCTCCATTTTTCGGTGCTTTTTGAACTTCTTCATGCTCCATGCCAGTCTCACTTTCTGGATTTTGTTTCAAGGAGGATGAACCTTCATCAGTTTGTGAGATTTTCGCCCGCAGATTTGCCCTAGCTTGAGCAAACTTTTGAATGAGACTTACTCTTTTCTTCGTTGCATGCACATTCTTCCACTTCTGAGGGACTGCGATCTTGGTTCGCACCATTTCTTGATGTTCTCTTGAGAGATTTCTGTAAACTTTGAGATTTGGGGAAGAATGACGAAGGAGACGAGGCTTTTGGATTTTGTATGGCCTTTTTTTTTGAAATTCAATCTTTTGGGTCTCTTCGATTTTGGTGACACAGCGCCGTATACAGATAGGCGTGCTGCATGTGCAATTTCTGTCTTTTAATATCTCCACGTGTGCACTTATAACTAGATGTGTCACCTTTTTACAAATTACCCCATCAGTAAGGAGCACATAGACCCAATTTTGATCTGAGTGTTTCGAACCTATCACCATCAAGTGCTTTGGTGAATATATCAGCGAGTTGCTCTTCTGTGGACACGTGTTCTAAACTCAAAATTTTTTTCTCAACAAGTTCCCGTATAAAGTGATGCTTGATGTCAATGTGTTTGGTTCGGGAGTGCAGTACTGGATTCTTTGATATACTGATGGCACTTGTATTGTCACAGTACAGAGGAATGGTGTCATGGTCCACACCGTAGTCACTGAGTATGGTTTTCATCCATAATAGTTATGCACAGCAACTGGCTGCCGCTATTGATAAGTCCGTTTTGTACGCACTTATCTTCTCTATATTTAATGTGTTGTGGTCCAATTTTGGATTAAACAAATCAATTTCTCAATGGTTTTTATATCTTTTATTCATAATTGCAAAAGTGTACAAAAGTTATGTCTAGCTTTAAAAAGAATAAAAATTGAGTCAAAAGTGGTACAAAAAGTGTAAAAGATTGTGCAAATGGAATACAACGAAGCAAGGAGGCAAAAGATGGCGAAAATCCATGAAGTGAAAAATGTGCATTCAAATGTGGTGATGCGCCCCGTCGAAAGATTTGAGGTCAAACGGATTGAAAAAGCACAAAAAAGAAATTGTTTGGAAAGAAAAAGATTGAATTGATTCAAAATTAATTCGTTTGACCCAAATTGGTTCGGAATTTGAAGTCAGCACAGAAGAAAAAGTTGTTCAGAATAAAATTTTGAGCAAGATTGTATTTTTAGAAAATATTTCCAGACCGGATTAAAATCCGGTCAACCAGGTGCTGCCACGTGGCGCAACCTGGCTGGCCGACCAACTGTGGCAGCAGCAGCAAAGATAAGAAATTCTAGTGGGCTGGCCGTCATCACCATAATCATATAAAAAATTGAAGGAAAGGAATGACGCATCAGTGCATGAAGAAACAAAAAAAATAATACTCGGATATCCTAAATCAGCAGCCATGCGCACTAACTCCTCAAGCGCGCGCCTGGACCTCAGGCCCACGCCTGTCAGAGACCTGGACCGAAATTTTCTCCTATAAAAGGAGGGCTTCGCCCCTTCATTTAAATCAAGCCTTCTTCCGGGTCTTTAAGACCCGAAACTCCATTCTCCGCTCCCGTTCTCAGTTATATTTTAATATTTTAGTTTAGTTTTTTTCTGGTTGTCCCAAAGTGGCTCCAACTCTGCCATCTGTTGTAAGTTTTAATACTTGCAATTTTAATAAAATGTTCTTTTCTTTTATGTTCTGTTAATATCTAGTATGAGTTAGGACCCAGATTAGGGTCTTGGCTAAATTTGGGCATATACTATGTATGTTTATTTAATAGTTGGAATAATTGTTTTAGAATTATTTTTATTGTTAAATTAATTAGTTATGTCGAGAGAAAAATTAATTAATTATTGGAAATTAGTTTTTGCCTTGTCTATGAGGATATAAAATTAATTAAGCCAAACTTTTTTAGAATACATTAATGTTGCCTTGAGAGAGGATAAGTTAATGAAATATTTGTGACAGAAATATTGTTATTCCAATTATTGATTAAATATGTGACAACAGTAGTTAACTCAGATGATGCCTTGACTCGAAGTCTAGTCCTATACCCGTATTATTTATTTTCTTTTTCTCAAAAGCATCCAGTAGTTTATTTTATTATTATTTTCAAATCAAATCGAGAAAACTTTCAGACCCGTCCTAACCTTCGTCTAGTTAGAAAAATTAGCTAATTCCCTTCGTCCACTCCTCGAGAGACACGACACTCGGAGAAAACTAACCCTTCATTGGGAAAGTTGACTTACCCACAAACTCAACCATCAGCTATGCATTCTGCTTCTACCGTGGAAAGTGACACAGAGTTCTGTTTCTTGCTCAACCATGCTACAAGATTTCCTCCTAGAAAGAAGCACCCTCCTGATGTGCTTTTTCTGTCGTCTATATTACCTGCCCAGTCTGCATCACTATAGGCCATAAGCTCTGCCATTCCTCCTTTTGAATACCATAAACCCATGTTTTGAGTGCCTTTGACATATTTTAGTATTCTTTTGGCGGCTTTGAGATGTGACTCCTTGGGATTGGCCTGATATCTAGCGCACACTCCAACACTGTAAGATAGATCTGGTCTACTTGCTGTTAGATATAGTAGACTCCCTATGATGCCTCTGTAGCGTGTAGCATCAATCTCCTTCCCATTGTCATCCCTGCTGATTTTCTCGTGTGTTGGACATGGTGTTCTAGCACTCTTACTGTCACTCATCTCAAATTTCTTCAACATGTTCTATGCATATTTGGTCTGAGATACGAATATTCCTTCATCAGTTTGTTTTATTTGTAACCCCAGGAAGAAGGTCAATTCGCCTATCATGCTCATCTCAAACTCTTTTTCCATCACGTTTACAAATTCATCAGCCTTTGCTTTGGAGGTGGATCCAAACACAATGTCATCCACATAAATCTGTGCAACCAGTAAATCAGATTTGTGCCATATAAACATGGTATTGTCTGCTCCCCCTCTCTTATATCCTTCCTTGATTAGATAGGAAGTTAACCGTTCGTACCATGCCCTAGGTGCCTGCTTCAGCCCATATAGAGCCTTGTGTAGTTTGTAAACGTAGTCTGGGTGCTTGGAATCTTCGAATCCTTTTGGTTGTGACGCATACACTTCTTCCTTTAGGTATCCATTCAGAAATGCAGTCTTGACATCCATTTGATATAATTTCATGTCTAGTATGCAGGCCATGCTTATGAGCATGCGTATTGATTCAAGGCAAGCCACTGGTGCAAAAGTTTCCTCAAAGTCAATCCCCTCTATCTGTGTGTATCCTTGGGCAACCAAGCGAGGCTTGTTTCTGATGACATTTCCTGCTTCATCTGTTTTGTTTCGATATATCCACTTCGTGCCAATGATGTTTGTGTTCTCTGGTTTAGGAACCAGTTCCCAGACTTTATTTCTTTCAAACTGCTCTAGCTCCTCATGCATGGTGTTTATCCATGCTTCTTCTGTCAGTGCTTCTTTGATGTTTTTGGGCTCCAAGGATGATGTATAGTAAGCTTTTGTCATCTCTAGGAAGTCAATCTTCTTTTTCCGTGTCTTCATCCCTTCGGTGGGTGACCCTATGATGTTTTCTGGAGGGTGGTTCTTCTGAATGTGTGTGGGAACACTGGTTATGGGGCAATCAGTTTGGATCTCTGGAGAATCACCTTTCTCAATTTCTTCATCCCCAGTGTCTTCTTCTAGCATTTTCTCAGAGATATCCACCTCTAGTGAGTCATCTGTTGCCTTGTGCTGGAGCTGGTCATCTACCACAACATTTATTGACTCCATTATAGTTCTTTTTCGTTTGTTGTATACTCAATTAGCCTTTCTGTTTGGTGAGTATCCAACAAAAATAGCCTCATCGCTCTTTGGCTCAAACTTCCCTTTCTGCTCCCGGTCTCTTAGGATGTAACACCTTGCCCCGAAAATGTGAAAGTGGGCTATGCTTGGTGTTCTCCCTTTCCACAGTTCATAGGGTGTAGCCATTGTTCCACTCCTAAAGTATACACGATTGATGGTGTAACATGCTGTATGAACTGCTTCAGCCCACAAATTTTGTGGTAGTCCATATGTGCTGATCATTGTGCGTGCCATTTCTTGAACATGTCGATTTTTCCTTTCTGCCACCCCGTTTTGTTGTGGAGTTTTTGGTGCTGAGAATTCATGCCAGATGCCATGCAGATCACAAAATTCTTCGAAAGGCCCATTGTCAAACTCCCCTCCATGGTCACTGAGTACTCTGATGACCATCTCTCATTCTAGACCTTGTTGCATAGCGCTTCAAAGGCATTTAGTGCATCATATTTGTGTTTTAAAAAACTGACCCACGTATACCTTGTGAAGTCATCCACGACCATGAGGACAAATCTTTTCCCGCCTAGGCTTTCAGTTTGCATGGGGCCGAACAGATCAATATGCATGAGCTCCAAAGGACGACTTATTGACCTCGTAGGTTTCTTAGGATGGCTTGCTCATGTTTGTTTCCCCATTTGACATGGTCCACATACTTGATCATTAACTTGAGTGATTTTGGGCATCCCTCGAACTGCTCCAGAGCCAGACAAGGTCTTAAGGTCCTTGTAGTTCATATGTCCAAGTCTATAGTGCCATAATTTTGCATCCCTCTCACTGGCTGTGTAGCAAAGTATATTTGGAGTGACTCTGTAACAATTGTCTATGGTTCTGTCACCTTCCAAGACAACAAATTTGTTTCTGTCCTTGATGCGGCACTTTTGTTGAGTGAATACCACTTCCAGTCCTTGGTCACAGATTTGACTAATGCTTAGCAGATTTACCTCTAGTCCTTGGACCAGCCATACATTTTTGATTGGTGGTAGCCCTGAGACATGCAGTGTTCCATTCCCAATGATCTGTCCATGTGCACCGCCACCAAAACGTACATTTCCTCCTTCTATTGGTTGAATGTTTGATAAGTTCTGTTTATCTCCAGTCATGTGATGTGAACACCCACTATCAAGCAGCCATTGGTCTGGTGTGACTCTAAGACATGAGTTGGCGCTTGAGGCCATGTGTTTTGGTATCATCTTCATTACAGTTCTAGTGAGACCTTTTGTCGTACCCTTCTTCCTTCTTCTGTACTTCAGTTGGTGGCACTGTCTTTTGATGTGTCCTTTTTTCCTGCAGTAGAAACAAATATGATTCCAGTAATAGTTAGAGGGAGAGCGTTTTCTTATATGAATGTGAGTAGGTTGGACTGCTTCCTTCTTGTCTCTGTTGTATTCTTTCAGTTCTTCAGCAGCAATCTTTGATCTTGTTACAAACAAATCAAGGGGTGTTTTGCTGCTCTCTGGTAGAGTATGACCAA